GTCCCAGAGGCATGATGGCACTTCAAATTTCACCACAGACTGAGGTGGGGTGGGGTTGCCTACCCCTGCCCTAGCTATATGACATTTTGCCATTAAAGTGCTGCTGAGCTTCTGCAGCCTCTTTCCAACCAACCCCTTGTGTACTTAGCATGTACTCCAGCAACTGCTCACATCATCTCTCAGGGCAAGTTTCCTGATGGTGACATCAAAACGTGCCTGTGCAGTGTGTGGCAGCATGGCCGCTTGTAAGAGAGTGTGTGACAATGCAGGAGAACAATTGGGGATAGCGACAGACACTTCCTGTTAAGGGTCCGTTCACACTAAAATCAGAAGTCAGAAGGTCCGCTGACTTGCAGTTTCAACCTCTGTTGACTTATTTTTTTCTCTTTTTCGCCAATGTTAATTTCAATTAACATGTCCTGAGTGGACAAACATCTATGGGGTTTATTTGTTTACTTGCGCTCCGATTACATCAGTTTTTGTTCCATTACATTACACTGAAAGAAAAAAAAACAAAAACTTTTTTTCCCATCAAATTTCAACAGAACGGATCACAGCAGTGTGAGCTGGTCCCATTCACTTTTTGGTGTCCATTGAAAAACGGAATGCAATGGATCTGGTGTGAATGGGGCCTTAAGGCTGACAAGGTCCTCAGTGGCAGGAATAGCAGTACAATTTCAATAAAAGGATTGCAAACAACTCTCAAGATTGGCAAATGGGGTTGGATCTATCTTAACATGCAAAAAAATGCTTTGGGTCCCCCCCCCCCCGGAAAAACAAAAGGTAAACAGTGCGAGGGAATCAGTGCTGCTGTGAATTGTCCCTTAAAGGTTTTACAGCAGAACCAAAATGGAGAGTAGCAACAATTAGAATTAGGAGAAAGGTAAGACATTTAAAGATGAGGGAGGGTTTGGATACATTTTAAAATGTTAATCTATCCCACCGATGTAACGCACATATGCAGCTGCAGAGTGGCCACACCTCAACAATGAGGCTCCACATATATGCTTCCGCCTGCTTTGCTGATCTATGCTGACAGCATGCTCACTGGCACACTCCCAGCAGAGCGACTGATCTGTTACTGACAGCCCCTGGTCACCTTTTCACATCTGAAACCCGGCGAGCTTGATGCCCGATCACATGATTGGAAGCCTTTCTTTTGTCAGGTTTTTCCTGCCATTAGGTCTTCCAGTTGTGCTCCTGCTGTGTCACATGCCACCATGGTAAAGATTCCTAGCAGCTGTGCTGACACATTGCTGAGGTAGGATCCACTATTGTCACTATCAGGAAGCTGGACCAGAGCAATGATGTGCAGCTAGTGCTGGAGGATTTGCATGTAGATAGAAAGTGGCTGCAGAGAGATTCATAAATAAAAAATGGGTAGACAGTATTTTATGAAATAAACACCACGGCAATTGTTTATGATACACAGTGATTTAGTATACCAAATTAATTCCCTTGTCTTCTTTAACAGCCACATATGTGCTCACCACCTTCTACACTGACCACCACACACAGGCTGGCAAATTGTATTAGATTTATGCAAAGAATCTCTCTCTGCTGTGGCAGTTTGAGAAATTTGTGGTAATGATATGAGCCCCACAACTGAGCCCCAGATATTCAACATTGCCGGGAGAGCTGGATCCTCAGACTTCCAGGCCCTTCCCTCCGAACACATGTCATCACCATGATTTTCCTGGAAATACAGAAATCTCATAGGGATGAAAGCCATTGCACAGCAAACGATGACAGCGGATTTCCATTTCCAGCAGAAACAGTGATGACAATGGAGGCTGGGTGGCCATCACTATAGGTGACCTGCGAGTCTCACAATCCAACACTCCCGGAAGTGAAGATTTTCTGCTGTATGCCTTTGTGCAGGACTCTCAAACCGCTATGTCTGTATGCACATGTAATACAGATTGCCAGCCCATGTTTAATTTTCAGGGTGGGATGTGGTGACAGGGTCTCCAATCAGCATAAGGGACACTGGGGAACGTTCATCCTGCCATGTCACTTCCAAACAATATAATACAACTACAAGTCCCCTCCCCCACACACTCCACAACCCTAATTGTCAGGGTAAGATGTGGTGACAGGGTCTCTTTATTCAGCATAAGGAACAATGAGGGCACGTTGATCCTGCCATGTCACCACCATACAATATATTTCCAGTCCCCTCCCCCACACCATGACCTATCATGGTAAAATGTGGTGACAGTCTCTTTATCCTGTCATGCCACTTCCATACAATATAATCCCACTCCTGTCACTCATCCCTTCCCCCACACACTTCATGGCTCCCCTGATCATGGTAGGATATGATGACAGGGTCTCTTTATTTACCATAGGAAACACCGATTCTGCCAGGTCACTTACATAGACTATAATTTCACTCCCGTCACCCACCCCCTCTTCTCCCACACTTATGGTAGAATGTGATGACATTATTTACCATAGGGAACACTAATCCTGCCGTGACACTTCCATACAATATAATCCAACTCCTGTCACCCACACGTATGGTAGAATGCGATGACAGGGTCTCTTTATTTAGCATAGGGAACAAGGATCCTGCCATATAACTTCCATACAATATAATCCCACTGCTGTCACCCACCCCCTCCCCTCCCACACTTATGGTAGAATGTGATGACATTATTTACCATAGGGAACATGTCACTTCCATAGAATATAATCCCACTCCTGTCACCCACTTCTCATGGTGGGATGCGATGACAGGGTCTCTTTATTTAGCATAGGGAACAATGATCCTACCATGTAATGTCCATAGAATATAATCCCACCCCTGTCACCCAGCCTTGACTCCTCCCCCAACACACTCCATGACTCCCCTCCCCCACATCTCCCCGGCCCCGGTACCTGAGGCAGTGTACCAGCTCCCGGCGTGGCTCGCATCCCTGCACAGCGCTCGGTTGGACATCTTGGTGCCGGAGCCGCCTATGATGTGTTCCCGGGCTGCGCTGTGCGGATGAGATGGCTCTACAGACGGCGTGTACACACCCTGCGTGCTCCCTGGAAAAGGGCTGGATGAATGGTGCAGCCGCTGAGGGGAGGAGGAGGCGGACGGAGCGCTGACACTCCTCCAGCGGCACCCGACGAGCCCCGGACTGACGCTAATAATAATACCCCTCGCTGAGATTTACAGCCACATGGAGGTTGGGGGGCTGGGGCCACATGTGTTTTCGGCCGGACACAGGGGGGAGCAGTCTCCTCGGGAGACCACCGGCCTGGCCTTCTACACTGATTGCGCCCAGCTTGCTGAGGGGACGGACAGAGCCGGCTCGCTCTGACTCGGTGTGAATGAAAAGTCTCGCGGCCGGGAAGTGAACGCACTCGGTGAGTCAGCCTGGGCCGCACGGCTCGGGAAGGCCTCGCTGGGAGTAGTGACTACAGGCCTCGAAGACCGGCTAAAAGTGCTCTGAAAGGGAGGCAGCGAGAGCTAATGCAAACGCGTTAGTGGTTTGTCCCTTCTAAGCGGCGGTGGAGGAAGAGTTTGTGGGCGGGGCAATCCGTGATTGGTTGTGTCGGGCGGTGAGTGGGCGGGCCCTGTGTTGTTGCCGGTGATGACGTCAGGAACCGGGTGGTCTGCAGGAGATTGGTCAGAAGGGTCTGGGCACAGGACTCAGGGTGCATTCTTGGGATAAATAATGGAGAGGGGGTGGGGCGCCTATGTCGACGGTTGATTGGAAGTCTAGTCTCTAGGGGGAAGAGGGCAGATTTCGGTGGTTGTGGGATAACATAGGGCCTGCGTGGACTGCCTTTTGTTCCTAAAAGTCAATGGGAGTGCAAAACCTGCTTGAAGGAAGTGAGATGTACCTGGCAATTAATTCTGGATGATCTCTGAAGCATCATACATTGATGCCATTGACACACTGCTCTATACACTGGACTTTAATCTATTCTGACTGTAAAAGAATAAAGCCAAACTTTTTTTGGCTTTCCTTTAGGAAAGGGGGTTCCTTTTGGTCACAGGGGTACTAATGACCTCCATTTACTAATGTACTCCTGTGACCCAAAGTAAGCAGATAGCAGGCTACTGCTCACCATATGGCTGACAGCACAGAGCCCAGCTGCAGGTTGTAAGGATCCCGACTGCCTGATTGACAGCTGGCTCTGCCTCTCTAGAGCCAAAGCCAGCTGTGCCCGCCCCTTCCCCTGTCTGTCCCTCCAATGAGTCCTGGAGGAACAGAGAGGGGAAACCTGTAGGAGGGGGCAGTGACTGATAGTCATTTCTCTCTGCAGGGAGACTACTGTGAGCCGAGTGATCACATGATCACTTAGCTCTCGCTCTAGCGTGTTCAGTTGCTCAGCCTGCAAGTTCTGAGTTAGCAATCTGCCACTGAAGGCTGTGCTGCAAGTCAGTGCTCATAGGTGAAGCACTGTCTAGCTGTCCTGCAGCGCTTCAATTGGATGCAGCAGCTTCACTGCCTCCAAGGCTGCAAAATGGCAGAAGATAATATTTTTGACTAATAAATACTCATCCATCAAAACATAAAATTTTAGGTTCCCACAATGAATTGGGATTTCCTCCATCAGGGTTCAGGCACCTTTCTCCAGCTCTGCCAGGTATGCCCACAGTTAAAATGGCCACTGGTGCTCTGTCCCCACTTTCTTGATCACACTCAGCGCTCTGCATCCACATTCACTTCTGCTGCGAGTGCTAATTTAGCAGTGCTGACTTGCAGTACAGCATTCAGTGGCACTGTGCTAACAACAATCGCAGCAACTGAACATGCCTCAGCACTGCTAAATGGAGATTTTCCAGCTGGCTCCTTCAATCAGATGATCGAAGAATGGCGGCTGTAAGGGAGCCGACAGCCCCACACACTGCAAATTTCGTCTGGTACATGAAAAACCGGTGTATGGGCACATTTAGAAGTGCCTTCGGTTTTCTTATTTTGAAAACACTTTGGCAACAGTGGTATTTATTAACCCCTTAAGGACAAAGGCCTTTTTTTCCACCCATGCTATAATCCACATTTTAGACCTGAAAGTTACTTAAAACCCCCAAACAATATATATTTTCTGAAAGCCAAGACCCTATAGAATATAATGGTGGTAGTTGCAAATGTTTATGTTGCACGACATTAGCTCAACTTATTATCAAACCCCAACATTTAGTGAAAAATGCACTTAAGTTAAATTCAGTACCCCAAAACACAATATAAAACCCTTTTTTTTGTAAAGTATAAAAGATGAGGTTACTAGTAAACAGATACCCAACATGTCCAGGTTAGAAATTGTGTGCGTCCGTGAAACTGCAACGGTACCCCAAAAAGTCCATAGACAAAACTGTAAAAGCCCCTACAGGTCATCAGTTTAAAGATGTGTGTAAATATTGGCCCGAGAATTATTGCTCTCAATCACTTTTTAACACTGTTTTTTTTAAACTTTACTTTAATTGCTATCACATAGGGGGCTTGCATGCCCCCCGTGTGATAGCATATTGGCAGTGACAGGTCCTCTTTAAGGTGATGCTGTGGGTCCAAAAGACCCCTAGTATCACTTTTATACTCTTAAGTTATTGAAGTGCAGGTCACACTTCAATAGCTTATTGCTGGGCTTCAGGAGCACAGCAATGACAGCTCAGGGACCGGAAGTGATGCAATATGCCACGTTTCCAGGCCCATAGAACGGGGAGGAGATCGGTGAACGGATCGTGAAAACGATCTAGCGGCAGCTGAGCTGCCAGAATCGCTTCTACTGTAAATCCGGCCGCCGGCTCTACAAAACTGAGCAGACTCCCGGCGGCTTTTAGCCTGTTTAACCTCTTCAGACTTCATGATGGGATTATCCCGTCATGGGTCGTGAAGGGGTTAAGAAAAGGCTGATTTATTAACCACTTGAGTCCTGAATGACATTCCAAAATGGCACTGCAATTATGTTTCTTCGCCACAGTGCCAATGCTTGTATTTGCTCCCTTTTGTTTTGTTTGAAGAAAAAAAAGAAGAGGGAAAAAAAGGTACAGATAAATAAAACAATGAATAAAAAATGCAGAGAAAAAAGGATAAAAAATACATAATGAATAATAAAGAAAAAGAAATCCTGTTATTCCCGGGTCCCAGCTAATACACTGGATGCACTAGATGGCATTAGCTCTTATGATAGCATCAAACATTTGCATGGATTCCCTCCTGATCAGAGCTGTGACATCCGTGTCTGTACAGTTTTTTTCCTCCATCTTGCGATGGAGTAAAGAACTGATACTGCCAGACCCCATGTCGGTTTATGCGGAAACGCATTTATACGAACATGTGTCTGTTTACATCAGTTACTCCTGATCCGGCATGATCATGTCCGGCGAAACAGATCTCTGACTTGTTTGTTTTTCCGGACCTGGCCAGAGTTGGGGGTAAACAGACGCCCATCCGTTTACACACGGCTGCCCATAGACTAAAGGTGGCCATACACTTTACAACCATCGCAAGACCTTGGTCTTGCGATGGTTGTAAAGTACTTAAAAAAAAACGTACGATCTGCCCATCTTGGACAGGCAGATCGTACTTGCGATCATCGCAAGCCCGCCCCCTTGAGGGGCGGGCTTGCGATGACTGCAATGAGGGGCGGGCTTGGAAGGACGGCAAACGCGGAGGGTGGGGGTCTTGTTCGATGGAAGACGTGCGACCGTACAGTAGAAACGGTCGCACGCCTTCCATACACTGTACGATTCTCGTACGATCGCGGGATTTCCCGCGATTCTCGTACAAGAATCGTACAGTGTATGGGCACCTTTACATTGGGCATACAATTGGGTCCGCTTGAAAAACCGGCAGGGGGACCTAATTGGACCGCCCGAGTGAAAGGGGCCTTATAATCCCATCCTTGGTCTCAGGAAGTCTGAACAGGTGTCGATCATTCTATTCACATGGCTAAAGGTGTGAATTGTGAAATCACTAGGGTAGACATGTTAAGGTGGCCATACACTGGTTGTAAAGTAATTACAAAAAAGTATGATCTGATCATTCACCTAGCTAGATCCCGCAGCACACCTTTGGCGCTGCTTTCCACCGACACTGAGAAAGCGTTCGACCGAGTTAGCTGGGGATTTATGCAGGCAGTTTTACAACATATTGGCCTGGGCAACAATATGCTTAAGTGGATATCGGCCCTATATACGTCCCCATCAGCAGCCGTGCGGGTGAATGAAACCAGATCCAAAGACTTTTTATTGTCCAATGGCACGCGGCAGGGATGCCCCCTCTCGCCCCTGATTTTCGCTCTAATTCTGGAGCCGTTCCATAGGCACCGTTCCTAGGGGTGGGCTTCCGATGACTGCAATGCTGAACAGGCAGTGTGCGTGTGCGCACACCGGCCCGTTCGGCAGTTGTTGAACAAGCACGCCACTAACCCGCCGAAAATCTTATGATTCTCGGCCGGTATCCAGCCCGCTTGTTCCAGTGTGCGTGTGCGCACACCGGCCAGAAACGGTCGCACGCCTTCCATACACTTTGCGATTATCGTACGATCGCGGGATTTCCCGCGATTATCGTACGATAATCGTACATTGTATGGGCACCTTTAAAATGGTATTATATGTGGGAGACAGACGGTGTTAAAGCCCCCCACCCCTATTCAGGGATGGTTGTTTCAGTCTGACTTAGATAGCCTCTTTTACACCTCTTGTGAACCAGTTTCTCCTCTATGTCCACAATGTGTACCTTACTGTCCTCAGAAGAATTTCAGTTTCCCTTATACACTCAGCTGCAGCACATAGAGGTGAATAAGCCTCACTGGAAAAAATAGGATTTCTACCTGTAATAAAATACATTGAATGTCAATGTGCTTCACGACATAGTTTTGAATCCAGCCCACTTCTGCAGTGCGGTGCATTGTATTAACATGGCATTACCACACCGTATGTTATACATTTGAGAGTGTTGTGGTGCCAGTCATTTTCAGTGGAACGCCACTGCATACACCCAACTCACATGTGTTGCAGCACACCACATCATGGTAACACACTATATAAGGTTGTATGTCTGTTTTTTTTGTCCATTCTGGTGCCTTGGCAGCCCACTCATATGTAAGCATGTTAATGTGCGTGCTTTAATGCAAAGCACCAGAATGGCAAAGTATGAATGGGCCTCAAGTGAATTTAATTTGATGGTAAGCTGTTCAGCTCTATTGAGAACACACAGAGCTGAATGAGTCAGAGGAGGGACACACATGCCTCTAGTTTCTTTATATAGCCTACCAGTTATTCACTCGTGGCTATGTGTATGTATCACCATGAACATTTGATATGCACTAAGGCCTCATTCACACGAGAAAAGGCCGGCACGTACAGCTCCGTGCATGGGCGTATCGGGCAGATCCCAGGAAGGACAGGTGCTGCGTGTGATTAGTACGCAGCCCCTATCCTTCTCTATGGAAGTACGCAGCCGTACGCCGCCCTACGCTCACCCGCCCTGCCCGTCCGTGCGGGTGCGGATGTCTATACTCGTACGCTGACAGGATGGATCCTGTCTGCGTCCGAGCCTGGACACCCGCACCCTTACGGACCTGCACTTGGGGGTAAGCGTAGGGAGGCGTACGGCCGCATACTCCCATAGAGAAGGACAGGGGCATGCAGCACCTCTCCTTCCTGGGAGCTGCCCGATACCGCGTGTACGCAGCACAGAGCTGTACGTCCCAGGCCTTTTCTCGTGTGAATGAGGCCTAAGACAGCACATAAAAATGTGTATCATGTATTTTCGTGTACTTACACTATCTTCAGTTGTGCTCTTTATGTGCATTAAAAATCATACATAGTATTAAAAAAAAAATAAAAAAAATCATCCCATTACAGAGCAGTGTATATATATCCATGCAAGCTCAGTTGAAAACAATAGCTTTCTATGCACAGCGTACCTGTTTGCTCTTTATGTATACATTATATTACAGTGGTGTGAACTCATCCTTAAAGCTCATTCACACTGCCATACATTTTGATACATGCTGCAATGCTGCTGATCTTTTCGTTACATGCTGCAATGCTTTTTTCATTCTCATATATGCATTGCAGCATGTAACGAAAAGGACAATTGTAACATGTAATGTTTTGGACAATTTGCCCTGTGGGTTCCATACAAGTCAACTGAATGTGACCGTTTCAAAACACTGCTCAATTTAAAAAGCATGTGGCAACATTCATTAGATCGAGGCGCATTGCCACATGCATTACGTTGTGAACAAAGCTGGTCATACAACTTGCAACCTGACTAAACAATATAGATCTACCAACAATTATGTAGTACGAGAGCCTACCTGACTAGATACAAATTAGGCCCCTTTCACACAGGCAGTCCGAATGGGTCCGCCTGTGAATTTTTCAGGCGGACCTGATCGGATGCCCAATGTAAGTTTATGGGCAGCTGGGTCTAAACAGACGGGCGTCCATTTACATCTGGCTCCGGCCAGGTCAAGAAAATTAAATGGGACAGTGTTCCATTTTTGATGGACCTGATTGTGCCAGATTGGGGGTAATCTGATGTAAATGGACACATGTCTGATTACATTCGATTCCCCATAGACCGGGGATGGCCAAACTCTGGCCCTCTAGCTGTGGTGAAACAAGTAATCCCACAAAGCATCTCTCTCCGGGAGTCATGTCTGTGGCTGTTAGAATCTTGCAAAGCCTCATGGGATTCGTAGTTCCACCACAGCTGGAGGGCCGCAGTTTGGCCATTCCTGCCATAGACTGACATGGGGTCCAGTCATTTCAGTTTTTTCATTTCTGGATGGTGCCATCCAATCTGTATCGCACCAATCAGGAGGGGATCCGTGCATGCATTCCCTCCTGATCAACCCGTGTGAAAGGGGACTTAGGTGGATTGTTTAGCTAGGTGGATTGTTTAGCTAGGGCTTCCACAACAAAGCTTTGGTAGTAGGTTGCGCATACACTCTGTTTTAAAAAACGCCACACGTCAACGTGATACGGTTCGTTCGCGGTACGTTTGGGGTGCCATTCAAAGGAATGGCACGCAACGCACCTCCCGCACTGTATTCACATGGGAGGTGTGTTCTGCAGTACCGTGCGTTAATCACAAGGAACCGTGCAATTAACGCACAGAGATGGTGTGTATGGGTCCTTAGCTCCGACTGCTCTGCATACAGTGTCATGAAAGCATCCCGTGTTAAATGTTGATTTCTAGAATGAAAATCACAGATAATATCAAAATCTCTCTTTCTCAAAACTTGATTTAAAAAATGTAGCCAAGAAAACGGGCACAGTGTGCTTCTACATGGCTCTACCATTTGCTCAATACAGCTGTCTCCGCATCATCTTACTTATACTGCTTTGGGTCATCTGAGGCCAATACGCATTTCTTCACAGGCAGAAAATGCTCTTATGAAGGCCTCATTCACACAGTTAACTGTCGTACAGATCCATGCGGCGTGCACAGCCATACCAGGCCACTCCCGGGAAGGACAGGTGCTGCCTGTGATTGCACGCAGCAGCCTGTTCTTCTCTCTGGGAGTATGTGGCCTTATGCCGCCATACGTTCACCCGAGCTGCACGTCCGTGCGGGTGCATGTGTCTGTGCTGTGACGCAGACAGGATCCATCCTGTCTGCGTACGAGTACGGACACCCGCACGGATATGCAGTTTGGGAGTGAGTATGGTGGCGTATGGCCGCGTACTCCCATAGAGAACAGGCTGCTGCATGCAATCACAGGCAGCACCTGTCCTTCTCGGGAGAAGCCTGATACGGCTGTGCACGCCGCACGGATCTGTACGGGCTGACCGCTGTGTGAATGAGGCCTAAACATCATTTTACAGTGACAGCACATACACACTAGCACCAGAATTGAGTTCTTGCTGCATATTCCTGCAGAACACTTCGGGTTCCGGAGCCACACCCCTTTCCGTGAGGTTCTGAGGAAGGGGGCGTGGCCCCAGAAATGCATTAACCCAGGCATACTGTGCCGTCACATAGGAACCACCATTTGTGCAGATCTAACATGCTGTATCTTGCTTTTTTGCTAAGACTGAGGATCAACCTTTGATTTGAAGGCCCAATGTTATCTACTCTTTTGTGAGTATCATTCCACTTTTTGCCATTTGTATAATAAAAATGTATCTACACTAGGGAAGGCACCCCGTATTTTTTCATCAGATATTACAGTCTCCCTGACTGATGTGGGGCAGCGACCTGTAGAACCTCTGCATGTATATTTCTTCAGTGGAGAGGTCATCTCTGGCGCTATTGGTTCTTATTTTAATTGTATATAGCATGCCATATTTGGTAGGCTGTGCCACTTGCCAATTGCTTTCATTGAAGACATTGGGACTGCAACCACTTGCCAAACACTACCATTGAGGCCAATGGGACTGTGTTGCAAGTGCTTGCCAACCACTTGATTTCTGTTGACTGCAATGGGCACTTTGGGCAAGTGGCACTGCCTAACAAATGCAACATGTTGTATAAATGTTGCCTTGACATGCGTATGAAGCTGAGCATTCATACGCAATTTGAGTCACAGGAGTACATTAGTAAATGTACTCCTGTGACCCAAAAGAGAAGTAAAGCCATGAAAAAAAAGTTAACTTAGGTAAGGAAGGCTTTTTATTTTGAATGGGCTGCCAAGGTGCTTCAATGCACACAAAAATCAGACAGGGACTGTTCCCATTTGTATGTAGGTGTGTAAGGAAACACATGAATTGAGGTACATTGTGCTGAGACGCCATTAAGAATGAATAAACTGCAACACACTATGGATTGTGTTATCTAATGCATAGACGAGTTTTCAGCATTAAGGATAAGGACACTTACATTGCCTGCCTAGCCCACCTAACCTAACGTATCCCAACTGACCCATATGCATACTTACTTGAAACTCACAGCAGTGGCCAGCTACAATGTTGACATACCACAGCTGAAACCTTCTTGCTGAGCCTAAGCAGTTTATCCACATAGCTGGAGATGCTCAGGAGGCAATTGCATAAACATAATTGGGGATCCATTGCACAGGCGCAGAGCTGGCAAGAAGATTTCAGTTAAATATACATCTGCAGGAAGTGTTGACCACTTTAGGTCAGGAGGGCCATGTAGGCAGGATAATAGCACTTTATGCAACAGTGTACTTATCCTGTAATGCAATTGCATGGCTTTTGCTGAGCCAAAATACCCAAACTGTTGAAGTACTGTTTCCCAGGATACTTTTCTCCTTCTGCCTCGAACAACTTCCCTTTTCCTGACTCCTTCAGTGGCACATTTGTTGGACTTTTTGCAAAATTGCAAAAAAACTACCATACCCAAAATTGACCATAGGCGACGCTTTAAAAGCTTTTACAGCTCATCAGTTTAGTGTTATAAGTGATTAATGGCCCTAGAAATATTGCTCTCATTCTGACGTTCGCGACGATATGTAACTTGTGCGGCGTAATCGTAGTTTTTGCAGGTATGCGCATGTTTGCATGCGTGTATGTATGGGGACTTTTTAAAAAAAAAATGTTTTTTTAATTCTTTTTTATGTTTAACTTGAAAAATTTTGGGAAACTTTCATTTTTTTCCCCCCCACTTAACTTTATTGCTATCAGATAGGGGGCTAAAAAACCCTCTTATGTGATAGCAAAAGAAGTGACAGGTCCTCTTTATGGAGACATCAGGGGTCTCCAAGACCACTAATGACACCTAGGACCCCCTGAAGAAGCAGAGATTTGCTTCATCAGCTTCTCTCCAGCATCTGAAGCTGGAGAGTGATTCCGCATTCTGAAAGGGCAAGTAATACAGAAGGTAATAACTGTGAGGGGTGAGCTGTTCAAGAAAGTAAAGGTGCAGTTATCTCAGTTGGAGGGGATTATATGCAACTCACACTAAATACTAGAGACGTGCATGGGTTTGGTGCAAAACTGACATCACTTGAGCTTGCTCAAAGCTGTTAGTGACACATCTACCTCCTGGTCCATTCAGCTGTGGCCGGGGCATTCCCTGCCAGCAGCTACACATAACAAAGGCGTGGAAAATGCCCCGGCTGCAACTGATTGGGCTAGGTTGTGTCACCAACAATTTTGCTTGGGCTCAGGCAAATTCTGTTCGCATAAGCTGATCTGATACAAGACATCTAAGATCACTGCCTTTTATAATCATTGGTACCAAGCCTCCCAATCAGGTTACATCGTAATCACTACTTCAAAAACAGCGAGCACATGACCATCTACAATACGACCAGTTATGTTATGGCTCTCCTCTGCAAGCCAAGAACTAAGTCTTATAAAAATGAAAGTTTGGGTTCCATGTTAACAGGCGCTCCGCCCTCCCAGCAGGAAAAAAAAAAGAAACTATCACCCTTTCCATCTGTGTGACGTCACGGCTCCAGGAGGAGGCTTGCACCGCACACAATCGCCCTCCCGGTGTACGGTGGCTGCTGAGGACCTTTAATTTATTTCACGGAAGGGCGCTTCTCCTAGTAGGTAAGAAAGCTTCTCGAAGTCTGGGGATGTGTGAATCTCGGTGACAACGCTGCTCCTTTGTTGTTTCTTACAGCAGTGCTGGGCTTGTGTATGCTTTTTTGTTAATGAGACAAAATGAAAGACGTTTTGTGTCAAAATGCTGCCTTCCTCTTCCAATTCCAAGCAGCTTCCTTGTATGTAAATGGCCGGGCACAGTAGATGTAAGCATTGACTGTTGTCTCTGCCCCTTCAGTGTCTTCTTGTAGGTGGTGTATATTTTAGTGACTTCATGTCATGTGTGTCAGCGACTTGACAGTTGCCTTTGTATTAAATCTTTCTATATTTTAAAATGAAAGTGTTCCT